TCAGTGTGACCTCGGTCCTCTTACTTGTGTGTATATGTGTATGTGTGTGTCTTCCGTGGCAGTAACGGCTCTGGGACATCAGAAGACCTCTTCTGGAAGCTGGACGCGCTCCAGACCTTCATCAGGGACCTGCACTGGCCTGAGGAGGAGTTCGCCAAACACCTGGAGAGTCGCATCAAACTGATGTCCAGCAACATGATCGAGAGCTGCGTCAAACGGTGTGTGTTTTCCGTCTCTGCAAACATAAAAAAAAAACAAAGCATGACTTAAGCTGTCATATCTGATATTGTCCAAATATTTAATGTCCAAAAAAGTCCACTATATCCCATATCAACCAATACTGATACAGCGGGGCAGTGGTGCCCTGGTGGTTAAGGAAGTGAAGTGCCACCTGCTCACTAAGGTGATGGGTTAAAGCAGTGTTTCTCAATATTTTTGTGCCACGCTCCCCCTAGGGGACAGTTATTTTTACCCTCCCTTGCTTCCCAAATTTAAATACTATTGAGTGCCTGGTAATATTTATGTATTTATCTGTACAAACCACTGTTTGAGTTTCATGAATAAAATAAGCTGCAACGCTGCCATCTAGTGGCTTTCAGTTTCACATACAGCTGTTTTCCCCCAAACCAATGTTTTTAGGCGTATACTGCCCCCTACTGTACTAGAGCGTGCAGTGTCCTGGTATGACCAGTGACTTTTTAAACTATCGCTACTACTCCTTACGCCTTGATGCGCCAATTATTTTTTATTTCAACTGATGCGACATTTGTATCGACGTTTAATCAATTCACGACGCATCGTTACATCCGTGGTCACAGCGTTTTGTGATTCTTTTACCTCCTCCGCAGCACCAGGATGGCGTTTGAATCCAAGCTGACGAAGAGCAGCAAGTCCACCGATTTCCGCATTTCTCCAACTTTATGCACTATGTTCAACGTGATGGTGGACGCCAAGGACCAATCGGCCAAGTTGTGTGCGATGGAGTTGGGCCAAGAGGTAAAAACCTCCCCCTGGCCAGCAGGTGGAGCACATTCACCTGCTGCACCTCCACTCTGGTTAACGCCGGTGTTTGAAACCCTCTCTCTGTGCAGAAACAGTTCCACTCCCAGATAGACGACCTGATAGAGGAAAGTGTGAAGGACATGATTCAACTTCTGGTTGCTAAGGTGAAAAAAGAAGAAGAAGAAAAAACAAACAAACAAACAACTTCATGAATTTAACTTTGAACTTGTCAACTTTTGTCTGTTTTTTCCCAGTTTGTTGCGATTCTGGACGGTGTGTTGGCAAAGATCTCCAGATACGATGAAGGCACTCTCTTCTCTTCATTCCTGTCTTTCACAGTGAGACTAAACTTTTTTTTTTTAAATGAATTCTTGGAGTCTTTAAATTAGGGACGTTCCGATACCGATCCTTTATCCGTATTAGTCCCGATACTAAGTTTAATTACATTAAATATTATTTGCATGTATTTTATCCTTAGTTCATATATATATATATAGAAATAAATAAATACTCAACTCAATAAAGTATCAATGCAGTACTTGAATAATGGTATCGGGACGACCCTACTTTAACTCCCATGAGTCCGTTGGGTTATTTATCAGTCTGTCTCTGATGAACCCACAGCTGATAAATTGTCAAACTGGAGTCAAACGCTAAAATTCTAAATCCTGTCTTTTGCTGTGATTTTAGGTGAAAGCTGCCTCAAAATATGTGGACGTACCTGTAAGTCCAATCAGAGCGACTGTGTGACCATGTGGTGGCGCAATCCCCATGAATCAAGGTGTTTTTTTGTTTTTGTTTTTTCTCTCCCCGTGGCACAGAAACCTGGCATGGACGTGGCCGACGGATACGTGACCTTCGTGCGCCATTCTCAGGATATGCTTCGGGATAAGGTCAATGAGGAGGTGTATATAGAAAGATTATTTGATGTAAGTAAGATGCCGTCTCCTCCTTTACCACAAGGGAGGGGGCCCACTGAAATGTGGCAAAACAACAGGGCAGACAGGGATAAGTCCCATTTTGAGACCAGGAAACGAAGCGCGGCCTGGCAGACGAGGCTCCTCTGATCTTTCACTTCTCTCTTCTCTTCCTGCTGTCTCTCCTCCTCTCTGAGCCTTAGCTGCTGCCCTCTCTCTCTACATGATGGTGTTGCATTACAGAGCAGTGCTTTTGGGCCTTTGTGAATTCACACAAAAAAAAAAACAAAAAAACTTTTCTTTCAACAAAGAGTCCAAAAAAAAAAAGCATCGTTGAAAAAGAGGATTATCTGAAGCAGTGCTCTCTGGACGGTCACAGAATGTTCCAGAGTGACAGTATCAGCACCTCTGTTTGTCTCCTCCACTGTGCTGCATGCTGCTCACAGACGGTTCACACAACAATGTCAGTCTGCTGAAGGGTTGACACTCAGTCTT